CAAGCTTCCCTCCTGCCTCAGGGTGCTACCGAGCCTGGCTGGCGAGCACACCTGGGCGACAGTCCACCAGCTTCCATCCCCAACCCTGCGCCGCCCTGGCCCTGGCAGGAGGAGCTGGGGGGGGGGGTGTACAATCAATTCGATTAGCTAATTTTAAAATCGGGGCGGGCAAAGGGAAGGGCTGCAATGACGTGGCTGCAACCGGATCTTACATCCCAATTAAGGCTGAATACTCTATTCTGAATATGGACCACGGAGCTTCCTGTTTCCCACAGCCCCCAACAGTGGGGACACTAGATTACGTCCCTCCCCTAGAAACACAAGTTGTCATCAGAGGATGAACAAAGGTTTTGACCTAAGGGGAAAAAGGGACATTTTTGAAGTTCTTATTGCACACGTTTGTGGAGGTTTAAACACGAGGCCTGCCCCCAACGCTCCTGTGTGAGACGATGCGAGAAGGTTCAGAGGGGCCACGGTTGGGTGGTGAAAGCCTTAACCCAACCAGAGACTTGATTCCCTGATGGGATTAACGGGGTGGGGGCTGACGGTGGGTAGGGTGTGGCTGCAGGAGTGGGACCTGGGAGCTGATCTTTGGGGGTATATATTTGTCCCTGTTGAGCTGAGCCCTCTCGGCTTCCTGACCGTGTCCTGAGCTGCCTTCCTCTGCCCCACACGGCCGCCATGATGCTCTCCCTCATCTCAGGCCCTGAGGAATGCAGTTAGTGGTCTGTGGACTGAGACCTCTGACACCTCGAAATCGTCAACGTTTCCTCATCTAGTTGTTCTTATCAGGTCTTTTGGTCGTGGCAGCGAAAAAGCTGACTAAAACGTCCTTCCGTCTTCTAACTACAAATGACCGTGAACTTCAACTCCCCAGCTAAAAGCATATGGCCACGCTTACTATGTCCCCACTCAACAGGAAGAGCTTAGACCGCGGCCAGGTTTCAAGGGCTCAGGCAAAAGCAGGGAGCATTTCTCCTGGCACCTGCTGTGGGACTTGCAGGTTAAACTGAAGGATATGAACTCCACGCTCCAACAGGCTGAGGTAGAAGCCAACACACCAGCCTGTGACCCATGAGGTCAAGTAGCACTTGGCGAGGGTCAGGGAGGGCTGAACAGTGAGATGGGTGAGGCCCCTCTGATGTGACAGAGAAGCACCACTGTCACAGCCCATCATTTAGTCTGCCAGGGAGATGCCACTTAAAACCAAGGACACCCCCTGCTGCCCAGGAGGACCCACTGCACCTGGAGGCCTTCCGGGTCTATGCACTCTGGGCTCCAGCCCCCACCCCGCAGCATCCCTCTTTCCCTCCCACCTGGAGCTGTTTCATGTTGGACCCTTCCTCCTGGGAGGAGGGGAAGTTGGTGGATGAATTAATAAATGAAGC